CCCGAGGAGAAGCAGACAAGCAGCCTTGTTTAAGGTAAGCACCGAGGGATATTTTTTCTGTGGCGGGTCACTTCCCGCTGGACGACACCATCTATCCTTTCTAACGCCGACTCTCGGAGCAAATCGGATGGTTCCTCCGGGATAGGCGATGTCAGCAGCAGCCCCGCTGAGAGGAAAACACAGGGTTTTACTCTCGTTACTTCCTGTTCCCAAAACGGACAGGAGGGATGAGACCCATTTTGGATTTGTCAATTTTCAACTGTTAGACAACATTCCATTCAAAATGCGTGGAGTCGGCTCTGCAGCCGCTACACAGAGCAGGGATGAGAATTCTGTTCTGTCTGGACAATCTGTTGCTGCTGACCCGTTCTCCAGACAGGTGGCAGCAGTGCAAACTCAGGCACTGACGTCACACCTGCAAAATCTGGACTTCACCATAACGGAGAGAAGAGCTCAGTTCACCCGGCACAGATGATCGTTTATCTGGGAGTGAAGATAAATGCGGTCACTATGAGGGCTCGCTTATCTAAGATGGGAACCGAAGCTCTAAAGGACCAGCACACGTGAATCCGGCAGAGTGATAACAGCTGTTTCCGTCATGAAGTTATTAGGGACATGTCGTCTGCTCACACAGTGCAATGCCTCCAGAGGTGGTTCGCTCGTTTGCGTGTGGACCCGGTGAGGCAGAAGAGACGGTTGATTGCTGTGCCCCCTCCGTGAGAATCGACCTGAGACACTGGGGAAACCCTCTTGTTCTGTCAGAGGGATTCCCCGTCAGCAGACCTACGTCACACGTGTCAGTCTTCACAGACGCGTCCCTGTCAGGCTGAGGAGGCACATGCATGTCTCGAGCTGTAGGGGCGCTGTGGCCACCCCACACAGCATCTCATATAAATGTTTTGGAATGTCGCACGGTTTTGAATGTGATTCAACATTTTGCTCCTGTGCTGCAGAATCAACATGTTCTGATTCACACAGTCAACAAGTGACTGCAGCATACTGGCAGGGGGTGTGTGCGCTCAGCTCGAATGTTACACATTGAGAGACGGCTGCTGTGTTGGGCACACCAAAATCTGCTCTCCATCAGAGCAGTGTACATCCCCGGTGTTCTGAACAGAGGGGCGGATGTGATGTCCAGGGGCAGTCCGCGTCACGGGGACTGGAGTCTCCATCCCGAGCTGATGGCTCAGACGTGGCAGAAATTTGGCAGAGCGGCCGAGGACTTGTTTGCCACACGAGAGAACGCTCAGTGTCAACTATGGTTCTCACTGAGCCCGTGGGACGAACCACCGCTAGGGGTAGACGTGTTTGCTCACAGCCCGTGGCCCAAAATGCTTCTTTACGCATTTCCCCCACTCCCTCTGATATCACGGTTTCTGAACCGAGTTCAGGAGGAGGGACTGACAGCCCTCCTGGTGGCTCCCGAATGCATGAAAGCATGCATGAACGCCCCGTGGTTCCCATTTCTACGACGCCTGTTATCTGGGCGCCCATGGAAACTGCTGTGGAGGGAGGATGCTGTTTAAATGTTTGACAAAAAAAACAGAAATATACATAATATACATATACATACATATACCATACCATACCACTTTATTTATAGAGCACTTAAAACAGTGACAAGGCCAACCAAGGTGCTGTACAGACAAAACAACAGGTAACACACAAAGCAAAATACAAAATGAGGTAAATCAGAATATAGACATAAAAACGATGCAGAAAATGACGACAAACCAGTGTGGAGCATACAGGATCAAACACAGATCATCTGGTGTTGAAAGCCACCAAATAGTAGTGGGTTTTTTAACGGGACTTGAAAACCGAGAGGGAGGGGGCCTGTCTGACAAGCAGAGGTAACTCGTTCCAAAGTCTTGGTCCTGCCACAGAGAAGGCCCTGTCACCTCTGCGCTTAAGACGAAATACATATATATATATATATATATATATATATATATATATATATATACATACAGTATATATATATGTGTGTGTGTGTGTGTGTGTATGTATATATATATATATAAGTGTATGAAAAAGTTGCTATAACTAACACATCTCAACAAAATATTTTCATTAGACAAAAAAAATTCAAGCATTAAATGCTACTATTGGGGGAGTGGTGGCGCAGAGGTTAGAGAGGTGGGCTTGTGATCCGAAGATCGCCGGTTCACGCCCCGGCCCCGACAACATCAAAAATTGTGGGTGGGGTAGGTGAAACACCCACACTTGCCCCCACCCTCATTCGCCCCACTCTGGGCCCATGAGCAAGGCCCTTAACCCCCACCATGTGCTCCCTAAAAAAAAAAACAGGTCTCTCTTGAAAATGAGTTCTCGTGGCTCAATGAGACTAACCTGGATAAATAAAGGCTAAATGAAAGAAAAAAAAAAAATAATCATCACATGTTAGTAGGTAGAAAGATATTTAGGAGCACTGTGGGTTGGTTACCTTCAAACATGTGTAGGATGTGCATGTTAAATATTTATACGTCTTCACTATATATGTATTGGCAGCACAATGGCTTAGTGGTTAGCATTGTTGCTGCCTCACATCAAGAGGGTTCTTGGTTTGTGGTTTGTGCCTGGGGCCTCTCTTATTTATTCTCTCTTTTTATAACTGAACAGAGACAGCTGCTAAAACAAAACTGAGGTGACACCACTGCCAATTTTGCCCACACAAACTCTAGAAATGTTTATATTTAATGTTTACCACATTAAACTTTTTTTTATCCATATTTTGGGGCAAGAGGTGGATGTACAGAAACAGAAACACGGAGAAGTCTCAAGTCTTCCTCGTGAGCAGAAGACAGAGCGGGCAAAAACTCAACCCTTTGTCATGAAAAATAAAATAAAAATAAAATAACCCAATGATTTAACCAGTCTTTCTTTGTGCAAACTCTTGTTTTAAAGCACTGGTCTATTTAAAAACATAAATAATTTTTCTTCAAATTACACTAGATGATGGTTGAGCCATTTCATAATGTATGAAGTGCGAGTTTTAAACAGCTGTACACCATAGATATAAACACTGTGTTTATATCTATGTCTATCTATGTTTATATCTATATCTATCTATCTATAGATATAAACACTGTGTTTATATATATGCTGTACACTAGATCTGAAGGTAAACCAGTAAAACTTCCATGGTTTAGAAATCAACTTCCTGCTCATGTTTTCTGCAGTAACTCCTCTTCACCACCAGAGGGTACTGTCTGCAGCCTTGTGAGGGGGCAGTGGAGAAGAACAGGTTAAAATTGCATCAAGATATCAGTGTTTGTATCAGAAATGTTTCACAATAAATTTACATAATTTGTGAATAATTATTAATATCTGGATTAACAACGTATTTTATCAAATAGATGCTTGATCAGAGCACATTTTTGACATTTTTTCTCTTATCCTGTTCAAAAATATTGTTCTCTCTCTCTCTCTCTCTCTCTCTCTCTCTCTCTCTCTCTCTCTCTCTCTCTCTCTCTCTCTCTCTCTCTCTCTCTATCTATCTATCTATCTTTCTATCTATCTATCTATCTATCTATCTATCTATCTATCTATCTATCTATCTATCTATCTATCTATCTATCTATCTATCTATCTATCTATCTATCTATCTATCTATCTGAAAACCCAGCTCAAATTTATTCAACAAATTCCCTGAAAAGTATTTTCAAGACTCTTTGCCCTCTCAGAATGTCAAGGCCATTTTCTCCTGTTTTTAATATTTTTTATTTTTTGCACACTAGTCACACATGTCCAAGTAACAACATTTCTTACTTTAAGACAGGACACCCGTGTTTGTGGATATTTCTGTTAAAATGAACAAAGATATTTTGCTTTATCTGTGTAGAAACCATAACTTCCATGTTTTAGCCTAGGCTTTTTGTGTCATTACCTTACTGCTAAACATAACTGTGTGTAAATTGTTGTTATAATCCCTTATTCTGTGCTGTAAGACGTTCCTTCAACACAGTGCACACGTTTTAAAAACCCTCCTGAAACCGTACGGTCACACATAGCGCAGCACTTTTTGTAAGGAATCACTGAATCATGGGAACCACAGCGATAATGCGCACTTGTCCGTTTCCAAGGCAACCACAATACGTTTCTGTGGATGAAGTCATTTGTTACGCCGATCGTTGCCATGGCTACAACCTAGAGAGGGCGCTGCGGAAGAGCGCTTCACGTTGAATGACGCAGAGAGGGGGCGTGTCCGCGCCGCGAGCTGCGCAGGGCTGCTTGTTGTTCCTGCAGAGAGAGGCGAGAAGATGGCGGCCGTGTCTAGCGGAGGTGCTGCTGGGTCCGCCGCGGCCGCGATTACACACTCTGCCCGACCGACCCACGCAAGTATGGGCTCCCAGAACCGAGCCCAGCCGTCTCCCGGGATCTGCCACGCCAGTCGCGCCGGCACGGCCGGCGGGTGCATCACGAATCCCGGCCACACTTCTTCTGCCACCAGGCCCCCTCCAGCCCGAGTGGGCCACTACGAAATCGAGCGGACCATCGGCAAGGGAAATTTCGCCGTTGTGAAACTAGCCACACACATCATCACTAAAGCAAAGGTAAGGCAAGTCGTGTCTTAACGTTAGAGGCGAGCAATTAGAAGTTGTCACGGGTTGGTTTGAAGCTTTTTTTGAACATGTACTCGGAATGACGCTGGGGCCTCCATCATGCTCCGGAGAGTCAACAGCCAGTGAGTCCGCTTTGGTGGCCCCGCTGCCCGGTCTGTGTGTCCGCTCGACCCGGCACATCACCGTCAGCTGTTGAACATGCCATAAGCTCCTATATCTATTATTATATCGAGTTTGACCGCGTTTAACAGCGAGCTGGAAAGGCCTGAAGATGGCAGAGGACAGAGAAGGGTATCGAAGATGGAAAAAAAGAGGAGACGGAGCAATCTTTAGCTCACGAGCTAATTAGCAATCTGGAAAGATTTGGATGTTGATGAGATGGATGACAAGAGGCACGAGCCGCAACACGTCGAGGTGACAGCAACTTTCAAAGTTGACGCTTTATTTATTAAAAACTACCTTCATCCAGCTACAACTCCACCGAATAGTTTTATTTCGACCGTCTTTTCTGACGATCCTCGGCTACTTTTCATTTGCTCGTTCGCCTTTTGTCAGTTTCACCGGAGCTCTCGTTTTGTGGCAGTTTTAGAATTGTTTCTTCTTCTTTCAATAATTAGATTACATTTTAAGATCTACTCCACGAGGAAAAGAAAAACACAAGCGGCATGATGGCCAAATGAGTGGTTTCCAAAACGCCACCACACATTTCCACTGTAGGTCCATGCTTTTTGCATAGAGTGGTTGCCAGTTAGAACTTTACCAAGTTACTGGCACAGTGACAGTAGTGCTGTAAACAAATGGTAGCCATACAAAGCTAAAGTACCCTTCAGGAGTCTTTCATTGAGACTGAATGTATTGATCTGAATGGAGGATTGGAGTTTCACAAGAGGGAGAAAATGTCCTTATGTTAAGGCTTTATTTGCTCACAAGCAGATTTTTTTTTTTTTTACTAAGGTAATCGAAAGGAACAAAGACTTTCAGGGATAATGTAGCTGTTTTCTGACTTTAGGGATCTTTTCATCCTTGCACGTACATCCTAATAATGGATGTTCAAGTTAAACATCCTGGGATAATTGGCAGCTCATGTGAGGTGTCTGTACTTTTATTTTAACCCGATGTGGATCAATGACAGCACGATGGCTCAGTGGTTAGCACTGTTATCTCACAGCAAGAAGGTCTTGGGTTCAACTTTTCATTCAACCTTTATTTAGACAGGTAAATCCCATCGAGCCTCGAGGACTCGTTTACAAGAGAGACCTGATTTCAACAAAGAATGATGACAACAATGGACAACAGCGACAACAATAGACAGTTATAAAAAGTCATACAGATTTTTTTTTTTAACAAATAAATGGCAAAAAAGTAACAAAAACAGCTAGATTATAAGGCGAATGTAGAAAACTACAAACAGGAACATGTCTGCGTTGGTCCCCGGTTGGGGACCTGTGCGATCTCCGGTTGGACCTGGGGTCTTTCTGTGTGGAGTTTGCATGTTCTTCTCGTGCAAGCGTGAGTTTTCTCCGGGTACTCCGGTTTCCTCCCACAGATCAAAAACATGTATGTTAGTCTGCCTTCAGGTCCAGGCCTCCCTTGCAAAAGAGATCTGTGACCTCACTGGGATTTGCCTGGTTAAATAAAGGTTAATAAATTAAAGATACTTATTGCAATGCATGAAATCATCATATCGTGTCACACCAGAAAGACGGCATGTCTGCTCTGTTATTGACCTGGCAGGTCTGCAGATGTATGTACCAGACTTAAGGTGCAGGAAATTAACAGATGGTCCATGTTCTGGATTTGGCGACCTCGTTTACAGACTGCATTCCTGGCAAGCCCTTATTTTACCAAGGTGGTTTGTTTTTTCCGACACCGATTCTTGCCAGATTCAGGGCACCCCATTAGTTTCTCTGTAGTCTACTTCCTTTAGCCAATTTTTCCTGGGGTTTCGGGATGGTTGCGTGCTCTATGATTGTTCCAAACCTTTTCATTGGTTTATTTTACATTTCCTTTGCAATATTGATAAAGTTGCAAATGTTAAAACACTTTTCCTGTATTTTAAACTTGCAGATCGGCATTTGTGGGTGCCGAGGGTCATTTTTCTGTTTCCTCCTTTGAATTTTATTGATTGTCTCTCTTCATATTGCAGGGGGAAAATACCAGAGAGCCTGTATAAGTAGCTTGATGGAGTAGGACGAAGGGTCCCTGTTATGATGTGGCAGGTTTTGTTGAGATTGGGACTTATCTTTTTAGCATGAGTAGATCTGCACTGAACGGGAGCACAGTATTCAGCTGTGGAGTAGCATGAAGCTAAAGCAGCATTCTCAAGGTCTTAGGATCTGCACACCATTTAGTGTTAGCTAGTTTGGACAGGAGTGATAATGGGGAAAATAGCAAACGATTATCCTGAATTATATTTAATGCTGCAGTTTGAAAGGGTTTGCTCCAGTAGTTTTCTGGATAAATTGAAGTGTAATTCTGTAGTCTGTGTAGGAAAAACGAACATGGCGGAATCAGACAAGAGCAGAGTTGGGGGGAAGCTGTGTAGATGTAAATATGAAATTGAATCTGCTACTAAATACAAAAGAAAAGAGAGAATGTGTAAAATAACTGTCAAGAATAAATGTTGAGGTTGAAAAAGGATGGTCGAGCGCCATAAAGACAGCTCAACAATCAAACACCTGGCTTTTGCAAAGCTGCATACTTAACCGGGTAAATCTGAATTATTCTGTACCAAAACATGAAAACTGTCGAACCACTCCATCCCAAAGAGCTCTTTTGTAATTTTTGACCTATTTTCAAACACTTTGACTGGTTAGAAGTGGCAGATATTCACAAATTTAGTGACCATCTATAACAGGGGTGTCAAACCTACTTACAAAAGGGTAAAACTTTAAACCTTTTTCAAACTAAGGGCCGCTTTCAGAATCTACATTAACTCAAGTTAGATATAGGCCTGTCACGATAACAAATTTTGCTGTGCGATTAGTTGTCTCAGAAATTATTGCGATAAACGATATTGTTTGAAAGTTGACTAATAGTAATGTCAACTTTAATAAGAAATGTTTAATTTGTTTTTCATGTAGTACATTTTTTTGACCACTGGATGGCAGTATAAGACTGTTTGAACTGAAGGATGGATAGTGAGGGAGCCAGCAGCGTGTGTCTTTAAGAAAAATGGGCGGGAGGCCCCTTGACGTGACATGGGCTGTTTCTCTTCGTTTCTCAAAATGACAGATGCTCGGTGTGGTTTGAGCTCTTTAGCATATCATTTTTCACACAAAGCTTTTAATAAAAAGTCAGTAAACAAGTTCTCAGCTTCTTTTTGCAGAGAAAAACAACTTTTTACACAAAGGCACAGGTTTCAACCGTGAATTTTGGAGCTTCGTCAAGACAGTTTTTTCCCGAAGTCGGCCTGTTAGCTTAGCTCGTAGTTTAGCTTCTCAGCTTAACTGCTTTTAACCATAGACATTATTTATGTTTGTGCTTTTAACGATCCAAAAATGAGATTTTGGACACTTAAAATGGATTTTAAAGAGAAAAGAGAAAGGGAGGGGTCATTGAAGAGCACCGGAGTTGAGCTTTTTGTCATCCAATGTCTTCAGTAGAAAGAGAGAGATGAAGAAACGATAAAGCCGATAAAATGAAAATGAGGTTGATAATTTTCATTTATCATGCGATTAATTGATTTATTGTTTACTGTGACAGGTCTAGTCAGATACCCAGCATCTATTCTTGGTTGCAGTTTCCTCAACAAGAGTTTGATTGGTCACGTTTGATGTTCTCTGTTGCACTTTTAACATCATAATCAAAGATTACTGAAAAGAATTTGTGACAAAAGTATTTTACCTTTAAAATAACATCTTGGGGGTCAGATAAGATGTAAACGAGGGCCACATTTGGCCCCCGGGCCTTGAGTTTGACACACATGATCTATAGGTAGTTTATCGTTTGTTTTTTACCGGTCTTCATGACGTTATACTGAGTTAATTTAAACAAAGGTGCATCCATGCTGCTACCTCTTGTGCCCTTGTTGACGTACCCACAGATGAGCAGACGGGTCATCTTGGACGTCTTCCTCGACGTAGCCGAGAGCCTTCAGCATCGTTTCACAAGGCTAAACATGGATCAGTGAGCTATGAAGTGGTTTTAAAAACTGGAAAAAATGTTACTGTATGGACTTGAAGTATGCTGACATGGCTGCAGTGTGATTTAAAGTGCTAGTAGTAGGTGTCGCTATCTGTTGTAGGAGCGACATGGAGACAATAGAAGTGTCTGCCTGCCTGGTTCTGTGTTGCCTTGTGTCTCTGGGACATGCAGAGAACAAAATGACACTTGCAGAATGAAAGGGGGGCCTTGTTTGTTGATGGCTGCTACAGACGGACCCAGTCAGCTCATGATTTACATGAACACGCACAGGGGTTTCTGCATCCCCGTTGCTCATGAATATCAAAAGAATAAGAGTGTGCTTTTACATGCCTGTGGATATCATGAATATGGATATGATGATCAGTCATGAGATGAGATGGAGCCTTATTTTATGAGCCTGGGTTTTATAAACGCTGACTGGACAGAAATAGCCCAGCAGCTCTCTCCGCTGCTCGATGGAGGTGGATGGTGTCCTGCAGTGCAGTCGCACAGAAGACGACCTGGGATTTGTGCCCGATGGCTTAGAAGCTGACAGTGGCACGGTCCTTTTCTGAGCCTCATTATCGTCTGTGTGTTTGTTTCGTTTACAGCGTTAGCCAAACTTCTCATGGGCCAGTCGATGGATATTAATGAAATGCAGCGATTAACTTTTGTAGTCGACACCATTTAAGATGGTCACGCTAGCGGAGCAGACTTTGCAAACACATAAATGTCTATAATTCAGACAGTTTTACAGAGATTGAGCGCACATTTAGTGATGCAGTAGCTGAGTATCATCTTCAACATACCAGTACTTTGAGCTCACAAGATTTTGCAAAATTACATAAGATTGCACATAACATAAT